ATATTTACATTATTCTTGCAAAAACTTAAATATTAATAGCAATATCATTAATATTTTAACCATATTCACTTTTTTTTTATTATACACACTAGAAGGGAAATTGCTATAAACTATATATATATATATATATATATATATATATATATATATATATATATATATATTATTAATTTCTTATTTATTAACTATTATTAGCATTATATTGTAATTTAATTATTTTTACATGTGTTGGTCACAATACAAAAAGAGGGATGGCGTGGCAAATGGCATGTGGAATATTAGGTCAGCGATTCGGTGCAATTTGTAATATCTGATTAAATGATTTTAGGTCGTTGACCTTTGAGGATCATTTAATTTTCACCATTATCGAGGAGTAATCCTTATTTTTTTATTTTCTTTTTTTTTTTAATTTCGTGGACTAGATTTCTATTTATTAATATTGAATTCAGATATAAACATTCCAGAATAATTTGAACGAGAATGTAAATTCTGCATTAAAGAGGTGGAAATGGACGAAATTTCTGAATTCCTCCGATTCTTGTACCACAAAGGCGAAATCTTTTGCCTTAGGCCTCTATTCTTTGGTCCGACAAGTATTTGATAGATGAATGTAAATCATGGTGATTCAACGGTCCGTCAAGGTAGAAGCTCCGATTTTGATTCAAAGAACAGTATTTTTCTTTTCGATTTCGATGTTCTGATTTTCAATTTTTATTTGGAATGAAATTTGAACTATATATAAAAAATCACCGGAAATTTCGAATTTAGTTTTAAATATTTTAATTATTTTTCAAAATATATAATATTATTTAAAATTTTATGAATTAGAAAATATTAACTGCTATCTACAATAAATTAAACTCTTATAAATAATAAAAAAAAAAAAGAAAAAGAAAAATATAATAAACGAACCGACATTTAACTACTGTACGCTACCGCGCACTAACTACAGTAGAGAAGCACTAATTGAATTTTGTGGTGGAGTCGCGCTTTACGTTTTTCTTTTCTTTTTCCTTAAATAAAGAGAGACTCCAATAAATATATCATCCAATCATATATTTACCATACTCGCTATGTATATCAATATTGCATCTATTTATTTAAAATTTTCGTGCAAAATTTCATTACTGGTCCATCATCAAATTAAGTTCTGCATTTTTAATTATCTGATTTTCAACATCCCTATAAATTATAATCCATCTAATTGTAAAATAATAATCAAATAAATGTAAAATTAGAAGATAATACAAAGTTGAAGAAAAGAATATGATCATAATAAAGAAACGAGATTACCGCATTTTCCGTAATCAAATTGAAAACTTTCACAGTTTCCTAAACTATTTCAATTAATTCTTTAATGAAAAAGTTTTCAAGGAAAAAATAAATAAAGTTTTTTGACTAATGATTTGTTTGATTGTTTAACAGTGGATTATATAACACAAGTTGAGAATAATATAGGGTAAATTACATCTACACCCCTAAGATATACTTAAATAATTTTAAGATCCCTGTAGTATTGGTAATTACAGTCACACCCTTGAAACATCGGGGCCAAGATTTCGTGTCATCGAGACAATATACACTATATTTGTTTCACGCGGGGCCATTAATGCCTACCATAAACGAAAATTAATAAATCTTGTATAAAATAATAAGGATTTAAGAAATGTTAGGAGAGTCATGTCAATTCCGTTTATCTCTATGTTGTCTTCACCACTGTCTGAAACTAGCAGTCTTTTAGAACCCTAACAAAATAACTTAACCAATGCATTGTTTCGTCAGAGTCTCTAACAATGTTTCAAAAATGTTATTATAATTACATATACTATAAAAACGTTAAAATTATTTTAGCATACGACAGGGGTGTAGGTGTAATTTACCCAATAATTAGTACTATATCGTATATTTATATATATTTATATATTAACAACAACGACGATGAAAATGAAATGAAATGAAATGATTATATTTCATTTTTAATTATAATTTTTGGCGGGAAAGCTCAAAAGATGGCATGCACTGAATTATTGGTGATGAATCATCAACATATATAAAACCCTGATATAGTGCCACCTGTGGCTGTCAGTATTCTATCCATCTCAATCCCAATCCCTGCAGCCGTGAGGTGGCGGTGGGGCAGACGGGTATGGGGCCGCGACGCCGTCCGTACGTCCACCGGAGACGAGGGGTGGGTCCCGTTTAGGTTTTTAACTATTTGAGATGGAGGTGTCGTTTTCCGCAGACAACTGTGTCTTGTGTTGTCGTTTTGGTTGGTTACAGAAACATAGGCAGATGGGATGGATGATCATTGGCTCGCAATTGCCGCCAATTTTAATCTAGAGAGAGAGAGAGTTCTAATCTAATAGGCCCATTTCTATAAGTTCAATATTTTCATTTTTGCTGGCCCAAACCCAAACCAATATCTCAAACCCCAAATTACATATAAGCCCTTTAATTTGCCCCATTTATAAATATTTGCAATTTATCAGTCAATAAAATTCCAATAGGTCAGATAATTTTTAAAATTAATTTGGTCAAAATGAGATTTTATATTAATTTATTGTGAAATTATGGGTTGTCTATTAAATTATTTTTGAAGGTGCAAAGTGCCAAAATATTAGGCTATGTTTGGAAGCATTTTTGGTTTGTTTTCATTGTTTCCCCAAAACAAAATGGGATTTATTACACTTTTCAAATTATTTTCTCAAAACAATTTCAAAAGTTTCTCTCTCCTTCAGACATGATGTGACTGCTACAGTAAAATGATTTGACTGCTATAGTAAAAAATGTCTTCACTAAAAAAAAAAAAAAACATCACTTTCATCTTTTCAATTTTTTT